ACATTTAGTAGATCGGTACTTTGGGTGGCGTTCCTGTTTTTCTATATACATCTTGGTTTTTATATGGCATCTGAGTTGTTGGATTTGTTCCACCTCGGCTGTCTGTGCACTGTATTGTCATCTTATGATATATGTTTTTTTACCGGTTTATATTTCACTGGTTTATTTACCTTTCTTGGGACTAATGCCCTTTCAACTTTCACATCTCACCTATGACGTCATTTTGTTCTCTGCTTACTCTCCAATCAGAATCTGTTACCACCATATTTAAATTTTCACAATTTCCGCTTTTCATTGTCTTGATAAAAGTCCTTCGTGGACTGAAACGTCGACTAGATCATGTTGTATTACTACACGTTTTTGTAATAAATTTAATGTCATTTTTCTAAAAGACGACCTCTGGAGTGCACTCGTTTTTCTTCGATATTTATTACGGCTGAGGTAGCACCGAGGCAAGTACAAGACCGGCAAATTGAGTGCGGGACTTTACAGGATTGCATGAATATATATATATATATATATATATATATATATATATATATATATATATATATATATATATATATATATATATATATACACACACATACACATATACATATAGATATATACACATACATATATATATACACACATATATACATATATATACATATACATATACATACATATAGATATACATATATACACATACATATACATATATACACATACATATATATACACATATACATACACATATTTGTGTTAGGCGCTTCAGATAGTACAGTGTGAAATACCATGAATAAGCGTAGGATAATAAAAGGAGCAAGTCGGTTGTGGTGTGCCGAAACCGACGATGAGGTAGGCCTGAGAAAGAAGAGGGCCTACCCAGGAAAAGAAATAGAAAGGAAATAAATGTTAAAAGTGGTGTGGTGGGAGGGTCATTCAACGCTGACCTCGAACGGTAAGGAGCAAGGTAAGGGGAGTGCCTTAAGTAGGCTAGGGGGCGTGGCCTCGTTCGCACATGTGCACAGGACACAGGGGGACGCCATGGGCACCACTCCCACCACCTTCAGCACCTGGGGTAAGTTATTTCATCACTAATTCCACTAATACTTATGATATATAAATGTACTGTTTTATTATACTGTTTATGCCTGATCCTGATGAAAGTCCCTGCTGGGACTGAAACGTTGATCTTTTAATGGATACTTAATAAATTGTTAATTTTAATTCTTGAAAATACGTGAGTGCTGATCACTATCTGAATATATATATATATATACATACATACATATATATATATACACACACACACACACACACATTATATATATGTGTTAAGGCAGTTTGGCCTGTATTTCTGGGAAGGGCTTAATTTAATTCACTCCCCTATATAAGGGACACCCCTTACCTGACTCCATATTGCTTGAGGTCAGCATCAGAATGATTTCCACTTCCGGGTCATCCAGACGCCATTTTACCTGATTACTCCATGAGGTTTTCTAAGCTGAGCTGTGTCAGGAATCCAGCCACAGGCTTTTCTGGCCTACCACCTTTTTCTTCAATCTATCGCTGTGGATGGTGTCCAAGTGACTCACAAACCGTAAGTCGACCTACCCGTTACGCCAGGCATCAGTCCCATGGCACCATCCACGGGTCAGGTCCTCACTTTACGGCTGCATTTTGTCTAAATCTGTCCTAAAACCATTGCATGTTCATGCATGTCATTCGTTTAAACTCACTTGTTTATATCTGTGTCTGGCTCATTTCGAGCATTAGCATACTTCCAAACGGGAACACATTCTGTTTCAATTGCCTAAACATACTATGCAATTCTGTGCGTGCATTTCGAATCTCACTGCTCGTTTAGTTTTGTTTCCCTGACATACCAGGCTCACGGTTTCTACCAAACGGGATCTAGTTCATGCATATTTCCGCCGGCGCATCCATAAGGCGGCACAAGTGGCCGCCTTACAGTGCACCGGCCCGGCGGGTGCAAAACCGGAGTCATAGCGCTCCCTCCTGCCAGGCACTCTGTCTAGCATGGCCGAGCGCGCCGCGGTACAGGAACTTATGTTTCCTGTACCCGGACGGACGGAAATGAAGTGCTCACAGAGAGAGCACTTCCTTTCCGGCCGGGTACAGGAAACTGAGCTCCGCGGTGCGCTCGGCCACGCTACAAGGTAGGAGATCAAGGACAAGTGGGGGGGCGGGGAATGAAAA